TTTGTTTAACACTTTCTTAGGTTGACAGCTAACGGTTGCATTGAACAGAACGTTAAAAGAATACATTAGCATTGAGATAGAAAAAAAACAATTGAAGGTAAACCGGATATGCCGGTATAAACAGCTCTCACGATTTATTACCTCTCTTGATCAAATTACGTTTGTTGTACGATTGTTCGTTATGAAACCTCGAGGGTGACATAGAGAAGCAATATCATCAAAGATTTAGTTGCCGAAAATGTGATTGAAAAGGGAATATTTTATTGAGTTGAGGTGATCTAAGAAAATTAGACCGGAAATCGGAAGCCGCGGTTAAGACGTTTGGGGGCGGGGCTGGAGGCGGGGAAATAAAAGTTATTTAGAGTCCAATTCTTTCTCGCCTTCAAAGGTCGACGAACAAAACTGAAATAATGAAAAAATCAACGAAAAACACAAAGGATGTATAAAGTGTGGACAGAACTGGACAACTATGAACTGCGATGCAGTAGACGACATGGCTGATTTCGCAAGCAAGTTGCGTGCTAAGATGACACCTAAGGGCAGAACCCACACTCTTACACCCTTAGCCCGCCATCAAAACAATGAACTGAAACAACAAAATCCAATATCGACTTCTTCACTTGACACCTCGAGAGCAATGTTGTGAGTGCTAGCTTCTCATAAGCACCCGAAGCTATAGGAACTTCAAATCGACGGAAAAAACGCTTGCGTCACCTTCAACGTAAATCAAAGCGGACACTGACTTAGAGAATTTTACAACAATACAAATAACATAACAAACAAATGGGTTTCGTTTGAATAAACACTTACTAGAGCTAAGAGATTGCTAATTTCTGTATTCATGTTTTTAGAATTTTTTTAAGCTGTGGCAAAGGGCCACGTGATAAGTTTGTTTAACAGAGAAATTTTAACGCCATACGCCCCATACCCCCTTCAACAGTTTTTTTCACCCAAATCAAGTTGTTTCACAATTTTAATTAAAGTTTCTGAACCGCTGCGCACGCTGGTCAAGAATAATTTTAGCTCCCATTGGACTGTTACAGGAGCCATTACTTACCAATGGGCTCCGAACTGTGAATGCCGGCATTTCCTGTGGTCACTGCTTTTCGCCCCGAAATTCATCTATATATGTTCGATCGCAGCTTAGTCAGTTCCCAAATAACTTATAATTTCCTGATTTAGAGTCTTCCTAAGGAAAGAATTTGCTACTTGTAAGTGTGACTGTAGAATGCTTCTCTTATTTTCATTGTGAATCGGCCTCGTAATTTTACTTTCCTGTCCGATTCTAGGAAGCTCTGTTGGTAGTGAGCGTTTCCACAGACTTAATTAAAATTAAACAACTTATTGGTGTAACTTACAGATGTGTACGTAGAAAGAACCTGAGTACCAGTTAATATGACAGACATCAATCAAATCGAGAGATAACTGGCAGAGTCCTCTTTAAATTTCTTGACAAATGAAAGGTCAAAGGCAAAATGTGAAAGAGTATTGCTCAATACGATGAAGTCACGTCTTCGTTGGAAAATTTTTTTCATTGATAAAAATTCCAAAGTAGTAGTGGGAATATATTGAGAAGTGAAGCACCTAACTTGGGAATGAGAAGAGAAACCATTATGGAAAGCCGTCGATCCGACCTTCAGCAGTGCACTTTCTTACACCGCGTTCGCCTGCTCGGTAAGTAAAAAATACTGATATTATTTGCTTAATGCGAATCGTGAGTAACAATGGATGCGTTTTTGTTTACACAATCCTCGACGGCCAAATTTTGTGTAAAATGTAGTCGTTTCAATGCTCTTAATTCTTGTACATGTTAATCAACTAGTTTTTTTCTTTTTTTTTTCTTTCGTTAATGATTATGTATTTTGTTATTTCCTAGCATTGGGGCTTGTAAGTGGTTTGGGTTTCAATGTTGTTTGTTTGTAGGGGATAGGGAAAGGTAAGTTACCTAGTAGGGGACAACCTTGTCCTCTATTGTAAATTTACCTGCCTTTGGCAAATTGTTAAATAAAATAATAAATAAGGAGCTTGATGCATGACCCCGGCCGTGAATAGACACTGAAAGAAACGCTTGCCAGTTTCGTTAATTAGATGCATTGATTATTATTCGAACAACTGGTGTATCTTGGGATTGCAGGAAGAGTTGCAATCTTGTAAAGCATAAAGTTTGACAGTAGAATGAGTCAATCATATTCCTGTATTGCCTCACACTTCATAAAAAATAAATTGTGTGGAAATTGAAAACCCCTTGAACGAATCATGGATCTGTGATGAATGAGAGAGACCTAACAAAGTTTGTCAAATCAATAATCTGCATCAAAACACTCATATACAAGGAGCAAAATTTTATAGTTTTATGTTGTTAATTGATTAGGCAGCAAACGAAAGAAAATATAACAGATCGATTTTTTTAGCTGTGGCGAAGTCGAGGCGATTGAGTTCACGGAGTCGAGGCTTGCTGCGTGTTAAGTATCCTTTACGGAAAAAAACTTAAAAATGAAAAAATATATGTTTCCGTTGTTTCTCTGGTTTTGTTCTTTTCCTTTCTATTTTTTTCATTATTTTTTTCCAATATGTTTGTGATTTATCACTTTTTAGAAACAACGGTTTAAAAGAAGATATAGTTTGTTAGATTTCAGTATTATTAACAAGTTGATAACGTAAATTGGTCACCGTTAAGATTTTCAAAGCTGACGTTTCGAGCTTTAGACCTTCGTCATTCACTCTGACGAAGGGCTGACGCTCGAAACGCCAGCTTTGAAACTTTTTACGGTGGCCAATTTACGTTATCGACTCAGTTTATTGTACAAGATTACCCTGTTATACTCTCCCATCGACGCAACACCACAGTTACTTTAGAAACTTACCCCCTTAAGCTTTTTTCATATGTTAAATTTCAGTTAGCTAGTTCGCCTCCACTTCATGCACTGGGCCCTGCAGTTTGCTTTCTCACGGAACTCTTAGAAAGAGGCCTTTTCAAGTGATTCTATGTGAGGATTCGAATGAAATAGAGCTATTATTATAATTTTTTTTCAAAAACTTGTCTGCCAAAGGAAAAAAGAGAAAACTACTCTTGCCTAGAGGAGGGTATTCTAAATTCAAATCTAGTTACCGAAATTATGTTACAATGCTATGAATCTGCAAAGTATTAAAACACTTTATCTAGGAACAGAATGAAAATTTTTGTTGAGATAATTTTGTTCTGGAAACGATAACAGAGTTATTTTTGATAGTTAGCGATTTAATTATCTTTCTTCAATACGCCCCTGAGCAGTCCCGATAGCACGCCCCCCTTTCTCAGCCAATCAGATGCATAGTTAAAACAAACTTGTTCAGGCGTATTTGTACGAGACTGCAGTGGAACCTTTAAATGAGCTCACTTTGAGTTCGAATTCACATTAATTCTTCGCGATACTTACTCTTGTTCGGACTGATAGTCTAAATTGGCCTAACGATTTTGCCTTCTGCGACACTTGATCGCTGTATCCTCCATCTTCAACCAATAGGAGCTGATATTTACTATAGAAGTCGGCACTAAACTTGCGTTGGGTCGTTAAGGCCGGTGATGTGCCTGTCCCAAATGTACTCAATAACATTTGTGCAAATTCTGTCGTTAGAAGCAACTGTTAGCGGTGCATTTACCAAGCACGAAAAAGTCAACGATTTCATAGCAAACTTCAATTTATGCAAATTTCTTGAATGATTTTAAACCTTTAGAACACAAATGAACCAAGTGTTTTATTCTGTTAGACTTAAGAGTAATCTTAAGTCTCGTCCCTATATTTGAGCAATTCTTTAAAGCTAAGTTTCAGCTACTTTTCTAGACCGATGTTTGCAATCACTTTTATTGCCAATTAGAAGCAATTAATGCATACGCCCTTAATAACGAAGAAGGCCCTAATATTGGCCCACAAAGCCTCGTGATGCAAAAGACTTGTAGGATATATTTCAGGATCCAAAGTTTTCGAGGGATTCCCATGCACCTTAAAGGTAAACACCACATCTAAAAATGATTTTTGGTGACGTATAATCTGGTTTTCGCTGTTCGTTTAGTTTCGATAATTAAATTCATTGTACAAAATGACGTGGAAGCTCGTTGAACTTTGATCACAGTTATATTTCATGTCGATGAGCAAAAACTCACCACTTGCGTTCACTTCGATCAGCAATCCCTTAACCCCCTGAGAGACCAATTAGTAATTTCTCCTTATCCTAGAAACAGTTTTATCTCATGGGTTCGTGTCGCATGTAATCCGGGATTGAATCAGTTTCGCTAGACTTCTTTCTTAGATTAGTCGGGAAAACTGGCGCCATTTTATGAACCAATAATATTATGCAAAACTAACTCAAATCATGAACTGATCACGCGTATTTTACCATGTCTACTATTTATACGCTTCCGGTCAATCGTGATTTTTAAAACATGAGCTGCAGTCGGCTCCTTCAGATATTTCCTATTGTTCTGATATTCATTGCTGATTATTTTATTGTTTTGGCTCAATGATAAATCGGCAGAAACGCGGCGCTGGTAATTTACAAGAATAAGCCAATAAATGTTTTTAAATGATAAAGCAATTTGGCAAAGTTAACATCCAACTATTTCACAATAGACAGTGGAGGAATCAATATCGAGATCTTGGAGAAGGAAGAAACACGATGCATAATATGATGACCTGACCGCAACCCTAAACCACACGCACTAACGCTAAGTCTCGTCACGACCTACTCGCATGGCGAGTTCTTTGTAGTAAAAGATAGCGCACGTGAAATAATTATGTCATGTCATAGAAATTTGTCAAGCTCCAGGAGAAACTCGAACTTATCAATATTTAGAACAATTTGTGGGTAACATACATCTTTGCCAATGAATTCCGTATTGCGAATTTATGATGAAGTTTGAGGAAATAGCGAGCAAAAAAATTCTATTTTTAGACTAAACCGGGATTGACGAGCGCTGATATATCCCACAATGCAGCGCTGCATGCTATAAAGCCAGCGGCCTCCTTCGAATAAGCAGCAGTCTTGTCATGGCGACGAGGTTGCTGGTTATTGCCCTGAGAGAAATGTAGTGAGTTCTGTCGTCTTCCAACCCAATATTCTACCTAAAAAAATGATAAAAAACCGGCTTAAAGACAAAGATGGATACACGAGAAGAGCTGGATGTGTCTGTTTTAAAAGCGAGCAGGAGGAAGAGGTTTTGACTCGTTTATGATGCACATGGCAATGTTCGACCTCGTTGTGGCTCGATCTTTCTAAGTGCCCTGTCTCGGTTTTATCCTTTAGGTGCTGTTAGTTTCGAGCTGTCGACATCCTGGTAGATGGGTGGTCCCTTCTGGAGGTGTCGAACGTGGAGAAGACTGGAAAGAAGCTGCTGTTCGGGAAGTTGAAGAAGAAGTTAGTATCAGACTGTTCGAAACAGGATAATTTATAAGCCAGTAGACCAAAACAGTTTCTATTTTTCTCTGTTTGTTTACTTTCCTTTAAACCCTCACCACATCGGCTTGTTTTCTTTACAGGCTGGAGTTCGTGGAACGCTTGGTCGTTTTGTTGGAGAATTCCAGGTTTGTTTTGAATATCGCTTTACGTTTTAAACCTTCTTCATTTTCGTGTTCGTACTTCTATAGACTTCTTGTACTAATTCCATTGTGATTTGTTCATCCTCTCTTCAGAACGATGTCAACCAAACTCGAACGGCTGTTTACGTCTTAATTGTCACAGAAATGCTTGATAAGTGGGAAGAAGGTAGGGGTTTTGTCTAACATGACATTTCTTTCCTTGTTACATTGCCTTCAAACAACAACATCGTAAGCTGACGCGTGTATTCTAATGCCAGTGATGCGACGTTCATTGTTTACAAAGATCAAAAAGCGGTAGAAACGGTAGATTATTGTTACTTTACGCATATTCACACCTCTTAATCTCTACCTCTCTGGTTGTGTTTTTCAGACAACTCTTTTCTGCACCAATTACGATCGAATGTTCAGGGTTGCAACCGTGCATGTGTAGAAATAGTTTGGGGCTGACTGTTACGTTGTAAATTTTAATTTTAAATCGGCCAAAGTCTATTTCTCATTTCATTTTAACGTAGTGGTAATTGTGGGATGACTACATAATAGATTCCCACCGATGGGTTTTTTTAATAACGGAACAGAATGTTGTTTTCCTTCGTCGTGATGGGTTAGAGAAGTCGAGTCATGAAAGCTTACCGACGTCTTTCATTTCTGTGTTACATGGATAGGATGTTACGATTCTTGATGCTTTGTAGTCCCTTGATATTCACTCCAAGGCAAATTAAGCAATTGTTATGTGCAGAACAAAGATCAGCAAAACAAGACGTTTTTCCTTTAGATTTGCAGGAAGAGGTCATCTATTATTCACTAGCTGTAGACCCCTTTCCAAAACATAGTTGAAGGATGCAATGTGTTCAGTTTTACGATCAGTTTTAGAGCAACACGATCAAAGATGTGGATAGCAAAATGTCAAACCAATATATATCACATATATCAACCTTGCAAGCTTGTGTTCATGACAGTTTAGCTCAGAGTATGCATTTGCTTGGCAAGTTTTCATAATTCAAGAACCAGTTATCAGTTTAATTATTAATACAGTGACAATCTGCTTTAGTTTAGTTGATTCATTTTGTGGCAGATTGTTTTGCTGAGCATTTGATAAAGTCTAACAAATGAAAAATCTCTCATCCAGTTAGCTAGTTGAACTCAAACAAGCTGGTTTTGAAAGGGAATAGAGAACATTCAAATCCTTGACCACTAGAATTTAAAAACAATCAGGTCAAGATAATTGCTTTTTCTTTATTACAAAATGGTGTGGGACAATTTTACTATATTGATGTTTTCCAATTAAATTTACGTAATGTAGAGAAAAGGTTTCGTGGCTTTCTTTTGGACATAAGTGTATCATCAAAATGTAGTTATCAAAAACATACTGAAAGAAAAAAAAAACTAAATGGGATTTTTTAAGGTGTCAATCTACACAAAGCAAATACAAATATCAGTTTTCAAGGAGAGCTTTTCAGTTATAAGTCAAGATGAGAATTTGAAGTTGTTTTCACAGTAAGGTGATGTTTAGTCTGGGATTATAAAGTTTAAAGATTCCAATGTACAAACAAAGGCTGCTGATAGTTTCACACTCTAGAGTGGTTATGCAAATTCAGGTCATAATTTATTAGAGTATTTTCAGGATCTCACATGAACTGACATTAGTTTCACAAAAAAATGTTGGTTTTTCAGGACCAAGACAGCTTTGTTAGTGGCAAAGAAGTGAATCAAAATGCCCTCTCTGTTAGTAGAACAGTACAACCAAAAGGACACTTTACCCAGGGATTTATATTTACATGGGCTTTTGAATAATGAACAACTCAGAATTAAAAAAAAGTCATCACAGCCATTAAGGGAGAGGTACATGGAGACAAACATTGAGCAGATGTCATTAAGATTTGATGATGATAAAGACGCTATTTACATCTAATGTGCAAAATTTGACCTTAAAGTTGTTGTATGTTTTGACCTTGCTTCCTTCAGAGGTAACTGCTATCAAAAAGCTTGTGAAATTTTTACTAGAACTGAAACTTTCTTTGTGTAATTTTAAATTGAGGCTGCTAATGAAATTGCTCTAAACTGGCAAGCTTTCCCAAAAAAAAAGTCAATAGCTTTGGTTGAATGCTGAAAACTACAATACATTTTAAGTTAAAATGATCAGGAGGTTTAACAACCCAAACACTTTATTTCATAGCAGAAGCTTGATCACAGGTCTGCATCAATAACTTGTGTTGTAACACACTATTTTCATTATCTACATATACTGCCCAGGATTTTAGAGTGAACAACTTTACATTGATATGAGAAAAGTGATGACCATTTTGTGCTCTGATAAATCTTTTATGATGCATATTACAAATAGCTTGTATAGTACATTCTGCATTCTCATATTGGATACAGAGGGAGGAAGACAGTCCTTTAAGGTTTAGTCAGTGGGGTACAGTAGACTTAACTGTATAGGCTTCAACTGGTAGTCTGTCAGAAGAATCTATTTGTCAATGTTCTTTGAGCCCAAATATGCTTGAGGCTGTGATACTCCTCCTCTATCTGCTCTTATCCAGCCTGGTCCATCATGAGAGATAAGAGTTTCACTGAAAAACACAACCAGGCCTTTCTGCATGGAGTCCCTCTTTTTAACCAGCTTCATCTGCTGCATCAATATTTAACTTTTCTTTCTTCTTTTGTCACCCAGATCGCACCAGGTCTTGGTTTCCCATAGAAACTGCAAAAGAAATGTTGAATGCCAAACCATATCAGCAAGAATACTTGGATAAAGCTTGTAGCAACAGGTGACAAAGCAAGCCCAACCAGTAGAGCTGGTTTGTATTGTCTTAATGTTGAAGCAGCAAAGAGTGTCTTTGTAAAATTATGTAATTGTTTGAGTCAAAGTTTTGATTTTTGTATGTTACCTTTGAAGCTTTTGCCTCTGAGTAGTGATAAGCATATTTATCCTTTTAATCATATCAAATTTCTAAACTGTGTAATTACAGTGAAGTAGCTCTATAGTTACCTTAATAGTTGTCAGATCTTGGGAGCTACAGGATTTTAAACAGATAGTTGAGGGTAAATAAGAAAGTGCTTTAGTTATTCAAAGTAACCAGTAATGTATCCAAAGAAAAAAAGTCTGTTTTATCTCAGAAACGAAGATGTAGACACAAAAAGTAACTCCAAACAGAGAAATTATCAGTATACACTGTCATATAGTTATATTTTCATACCTTGTGACAATACATTTTTTGTTCAATTGGTTTTCAAATGTATGGCTGGTTAATTCAAGCTTTGATGGATAGCACTCTCTTAGACTTCACGTGGTGTGATTCTGTTTGGTAGATGGACATGTACATGTAATTTACCTGAAACTCTTCAAGTGCCATGAGTTACCAACTTGCATATTAATCTTGTATTACAATACTTGTACTTACTCAAGAAAATTGTCTGTGTGAATGAATAACAATCGAGAAAGGGTAATGGTCTTTTTTCTCCTCTTAGAAATTAGTTTCTGGTCACAGCTGGAACTTGAAGGGTTTATGTGATAACACACATGTACATTATTTGAAGAAAGTATCACTGGACAGTAGTTGTGAGAAATTTAGTTAAGGGTTCAGTCACATGTTATGTACAAAGGAGGTTGGGGGATGGTTGTTTTGGTGATGAAAGTGAGCAAAAAAGTAAGGCAGAGTGCAAAAAGTTTGCTTTCCTTGGAAAGGCCAAAGTAATAACTCAGAGTAAAAAAACTCTAGTATATTATATTCAGGTAACAATGTGATATGTATATGAAATAATTTTAGAATATATGATGATAAGAGACAGTTGTGTTTGCTCCAAACTTGGTAGTTAATCACCTTATAAGTGTGCCTGTGTTAGTGATTCTTTGCCATGAGTTGACTTAAAATTTCATGACTTCTTTCAGAAATAATTTCTTCTCTTCTATGTTTGGAACTGATGTTACTTGTTAGGGACCAAGGCCCTTCTTAAACTGAACACCCTAATTGTATTTTTCTAGAGTGATATAATTATTTAAATTGTCAGTGGTTTTGTTGATTGAAGTCTGAATCTGATATGTGTATTTCTTTCAGACTCTTTTTATGATAATTGTATGATTTGATTACTCTGAGTTTTATATTTTCATGCCACTGAGTGCAATGATTACATCAGTTTTTTCAAACCAATCATAGTGTAGTTTACCAAAACCTGTGCAATCCAGGATTACTTACCATACTCAACTGAAAATTGCTCCAAAACTTGAAATATAACATCATTTAGATGTTTTCTTTTTCCTCTATAGTAGAGTTTAAGTTCTGAACAAAAGACTGTTGACATAGTTGTGTGTATTTCGTTCACTATCTTAGAATGTTTATGTAATTGTGTAAGATGTAGTGGTGAAGGGCCTGTAACACAAAGTCCAATGAAAGTTATCTGATTGAATGGTCCCAAACAGTAAATACAAGACTGCTAAATTCTTCCACTCATGAAAGTGATCTACATGTATTTTCTCATTGTGATTCCAATATGTTATCCTGTAATCAGGTTATGAGATCAGATGTGGTAGTTTGCTAGCAAATAGTGGGTGTTCTCCTGACATAACCCCAAATTCTCTTGTCTAATTTGCAAGAAATTGTAGGGTAGTCAGTTGGGAGAATATCTTATTGAATCTTGGGAGTTGTAGAGTCAATGACAAAGTCATACTTATGTTAGCTCCACAACTATTACATCAGAGTGAGAAAAAATTAAGCAAAAGCCAAAATAAAAGAGTCTGTATAAAGAGATTATTCAATGCATACTCAATCACAAGTCATTTGTCTTTCAATTTATACCAGAAGGGTCTTTTTTTATAAAAAGTAAATGGAATTGTTGTGATACAGTGTTCTGTTACAGCCCTTCAATTACAGCAAACTATTGACCATTAAGATATTAATTTGTTCAAAACTTAAATGAGTTCAAGTACCCTGGGGTTTCAATTTTTTTTACTCAGTTGAGCCTGCTTGTAAACCAGACAGATGGTGGAAAGAGGTCTTGCAGCTGGTGGTAGACTGCTGGTAACAGACTTTTATTGCAACCAGATAATTTTGGTTCTATCAACTGATTTCATAATGTAAAATTAGCCACTGCAAAGAGTTCAAAGCTATTGCTTTGAGCATTAGCCTTTCATCAGAGCAAAGGGTTTGACAAAGGGCTAATGCTCATAATGTCAGCTTTGAACTCTTTATGATGGCTAATTTACATTAGTAACTCAGTTGATGAAACCAAAATTATTGTTTATGCTCTCCCACCATCACAGCACCACAGTTTCTTTAGAAACTTATTTCCTTTTGTTGAAATCCCCGGGTACTTCAACAGAGAGATTAGTTCATACTATGTGTGGGATAGTTAACTTTGATTTTATAGCAAGGAGCAATTCTTTATTAGAAAACTGATAACTTTGCTAAATAAAGTACAATTTAGAGCTAAAAAGTGAAATTTATGATTATAAAATAAATGTAATGTTTTTTATGTGTGGAGTTGTGAAAAATTGAATCTTATGAAGCTTTAGAGATATTAAATTATGTTTGTCAAAAATTTGTTGGATATTTTTTGACTGACGCAACAAGGGCGGTGAAACCAAATGATTTTGAAGTTTTCCTAAAGTCATCTGGGAGTCTGGTGTTAATCCTCAGCCAATTTTCTTCGCAGCCAGAGAGGAAAAATATTTGCTATTTTACTCTCTTGATCAGTTGAAAACAAAGTTTGTCAAACTCCACTCAAACATATAGGTTTGACTTGACTATCATCCCCTTTTCAGCCCCCTGTGTCAAATTATTTTGCCCTTTTCCCTGACCATGAAGCACATTGCAATTGATGATTAAAACCAAAGGAGATGCAAACATACTAGCCAATTAGAACATGGGAAATAGAACAAAGAGCAGATGAGAAGTAAAAAGTGGGAACAAATAAACACCTTGACGCATATGTGGTTTAACAGTGCCTGTCTTCTGTTTGCATCTGATTGGTTACAGGACGGCACAAGTTTTCTAGACCCATTACAAAGTAATGTTAGAGAGAACCAATACATTCCTGGATCGTGTTTGGTACAATCAACACTCTTCTCTTATAAGTACTTTTAATTTGGGGGAGGAATCTGAGTGGGTGCTGTGCACTGGGCTTAAACAACTTACAGAAGGGTGTTGATGTGTAATGATTGTTCCTAAGGGTGGCAATGTAAAAATATCCTTGTCAAACAAGCCAACAAGGAATGCACAGAAAGAAAGCATGGGCACTGGGTGAGATGTATTTCAAACTTTTAAAACAACATCTCTAACCTGGGCCAGCTGTATGTTTCCTCCTGGGTATATTGTGAAAAAGAAATTGATTCAAGGCCTGTCCATAGTATGCTACAGTATTAGACAGATTTACTTTGAGGGTGTCAGCTTTGACACAATCAACAATTCAAAACGTTGCTTTTTTGGGTGTTCCATGTTCTCCATACTCGTCTCTTGTTATTTCCTTTGTTACTGACAATAAGAATTCATTTAACAATCAAAGCTTCTCAGGTTGGTAATAATTTTCTTTGTTCTCTTAATCTTAAGGAATGATTTAGTGATAAAGGAGAAATTAGATGCTAATCACTGTTAGATTACTAGAGCAGGTAAAAAACATCAATTAGCAAAACAACAACCGGAAAATTTTGGTAGCTATAATTCGGAGGGAGGTAATTGTTTTCTGAATATCGTTTTTTTTCGGTTGAGGGGCGGCCTTAATTGAGGGCAGAAAGGCACAGGTGCAAGCCGTTATAACAGGGCTCTTGGGATTCTCCATTTCTCTTGGCTTCTTTTCACTCCTGTCCATTTTTGGTGCAGATGTAGTGCCCTTCTCAAATCTACAGCTAAAGCAATGTTGAAAAAACGCTCTCAATCCGGATCACCCCAAGCATGCGGTATAGCCGTACACCCCCTTCCCACCCCCTTACCCTCCTGTGACAGATTGTTTTTTTTGCCGGTCACGCGATTATTGGTTCGGTTACCAAGCAAGTTAGACTAGCAAGCTACGCCGGTTTTTTTGGCCGAGATAAATAATGAATGTGTAAATAGATAATGTTAAGTAGTTCTTCGCAACGATCAGGCTTTCTTTGATCAAATTTATCAGAATGATAGACGTGAAATACGTTACTGATGTTTTGTATGGAGGTGTCGACTTCACTTTGCCCGGAAACGGCGGTAAAGAATGCGCCGAGTTCTTGCCTCTGGGGCAGAGAGTTGTGGAAACTGTAGTATACGAACTCTTTACTATCTTGGTGTTCTGGAAAATGTTAGGGAAAGTTTCTGTACCAGAAGATTTGCCGGCGTACAGAGAAGGTAGTGGAGTTGGTAAAAGACTTCTTTTGGTCGTACACTGCCTCGTGTTTGGGATAGAAATTGGTTTCAAATTTGCCACCAAGCAGGTTATTTTCCTCCTCAATCCTTGTCATGTTATAACAGCGATTCAGGTAAGATTTGTGTCTTGTTGTCACCTACTCCTTTGTATCTTTCTAGACGGGAAAACAATGAATAGAATTGATCGCAATTTGCCGACGGATCTCAAGAAGGACTTGAGCATTTTAATTTTTTTAGTGAAAATCGTTGTTTGATTTCCGCTATTTGCTGTAATTGGAGACTGAGATACTTTTAGAATGAAATTTACCTCAGCAAATTTGACATCTAACCTAGAACTGCTTCTACATAAGTGGAGTTCCATATGAGTGTATCTTTTTTGTTGTTGTTGGATATGACCGAAATTAAGGTAGAAAATTAATCGATTTTTGTCACATAAAGCTTCCAGAAGGCCAGGCCAAATCGCTGGGTTGTTTTTTTGGTTCACGTCAGAAGGAACTTGAGAAATGACAGTGTAAGAGTTTTGGAACTACAAATGAAAAGAGAAAGCATGTTTAATAAACTTGAGAGTTATCGATTGCAGTAAATTCAGTACGAGCCACACTTTCCTACATTGCGTGATCACTGTTAAGTTTTCTAGAAGGAGCGGGGGAGAGGGTCTGTTTTGCCCAAACGTCAGCCTTACTTTCACCAGAGGTAAGGTGATGGGTAAAGGAACGGGCTTAGTCCTGTTTATTACCCATACTTCATAATGCAGACAGATCTTTGGTAAAAGAACACAATGACTCAAACAGTAGACTACTTTTGAGACTAAGGCTTTGTTTTTAACTGCTATTGGGATATTTGGAAATCTTTCAGACAGACTATGTTTGGAGTGTGACCTTTAATTTCTGTAGTTTTTCATTAAGTACACCAAAAGTGGACTGTTACCTCTGGTCTAAATCGTCAAATACGTGCAAAGTTATTTTGTACAAAATTCATTCTAACCATAATTAAATCACCAAGTTTGGCTGCATGAAAGCATGCTCAAGATTCATTTATTTTTTCCCCTAGATATATCTGTTAGTTGAACCTCCAAGTAAACGTGTCTTATGGGTTTTTAGGTAAGTACCCAAAACTGGTAAATGATTACTCATTTCATCATTGGTATGGGAGGTAGTGACAAATGACCCTTTTATGGAAATGTAAGAGGAGATTTGAACAAATTGTTTTACCTTGGCAGGGGAAGAAACTCTTCTATTGCCCTGCTTTGGGAAAAGTTATGTGCCCCCCCCCCCTCCTCCCCTGAATGATCAGTAATAGGTGCATAATAGATACTGAGATCTTCAGATTTTTTTGCTGATCTCTAATGAAATAGGCTGCATTCTTATCATTTTTACAGCATTATCTTTTGAGCAAGTTGAGAATTTTTGTCAAAAGCCATCCACTCAGGCTCATGGGTAACTTGCCAGACCTCTTTTCTGCAAAGACATTTTGTTTTTATCAATGGCAAAATTGATAAATTACACAATGTAAACATCCTTTTTTCCCATGATGAACTTAACAGTCTGTGAACTTTGCATCAAACTTTGCTCTTTGTCTCAAAGTTAGGAACAAGTATAGGTGAAAATTCCTTTCCTTGATCATAGGATTCACAATTACTTATTATTTGGTGCTCTTCAAGCAATCCTGTTTCCTGTTGTCAATACTAGATTGGTAAGTTGACAGAAGTACTTTAATGAAACAAGTATGTTTTTAATTTATTTTCCTTGGTAAATTTCAGGGTTGTCTTGTGATGTGAAAAATTGCTGCTCAGTACTATATAAAGTACAAACAACTCAAAGATTTCAACTTATTGACATGAACGTTGTGTTATAATTTCTTCAACTTAAATTTTTTCTTCTCTCATCTCAGTCTGCTGATTAACATTCAACAAAACCTGGTATCATGGACTCCTTCCAAATTTTTTATTAAATTAGGTTACATTTGGTACTAACAAGTAGGAAGCACATGCAGTTGAACAAAGAAAATATTTTCCAGTTTTAAAAAATAAAATGTTACTTTCAGTTACCATTTGAAGTTGCAACTTATTGGATACAGCACACCCTTATTCTCATTGTTGTGCCTTTTTTTCTTGTTTCCCTTCAAGGTATGTGCCTTTTGTTACCTGACTTGTAACACTCTTTAACCCTTCAACTCTCAAGATCGGATTGTTAATTCTCCCCTCTAAATGCGAAACATTTCCTTGAAAATAAAGTATGAGAATTTGCTCTTAGATCAAGATAACAACTTCTTCCTGATAAGTTTGAGTTTTCTCATTACCTGTTTGCTGGAGAATGTGTGGAAATTATAGCGAGAAGTTACCTGTTAATCACTTCTGGGATTTAACCCTTTAACTCCCGCAAGTGACTGAGACAGAATTTCTGCTAAAAGTATCTATACAATACCAACCAGATAAGTGATGAGACTAAAGAAAAATATCAATTTGGGGATAATTAGGCGATCCAATACTAAATTCTCTGAACTTACATTAAAAGAATTGTATAGTTGAGAGAATGGAGAATTAAAAATTTGATCTGGAAGTGAAAGGGTTAAGGAAAATGTGTTTATGACCCAATAAATGTCATTCATTACTACTTCCTCTGTGTGCACTACTCATAGTTTAATTGTTAGTTTGGAAGTTTAATTTTACAGCAGGGGTAGGGACATACAGTTCAGATTGTTAAATGCCAAGGACACTTTTTGGAGGAATTACTCATCACTTGTAACCTTTTACAACCAAACATCAGTATGCATATTCTTAATACTGTTCTCTCTAAGGTGCTGGAAAGGAGAAATTGTTTAACAACCAAGAACTTCCTTAGTTGGTGGTCATTACCTCTATTCTGATAATAGAAATGTTTGATACAAGGATGATACTGTTGGGAGAAATAATAAGCTGGTCACTCACAAGGATTAATGGGCTGAAATTTGATGGATGGCCAAAAATGTTTTCAATTCTTACAGTAAGTTAAAAACTGACCATCTTTTTTCTCCTTTCTTCCTTATTTTCCTGTAACAGGTCCATTTGTTTTGGAACCAGTGTGGGACTTCACATGGGCAACTTTGACTTTTACCTTTTTCTCTTTTTATATGCTGCTGTTTCTCCAGCCACTAGGAATGGTAAGTTGTGAGCTCTAAAAGAGAATGAAAGCATTCTTAGGTTTCCTATAGCTTGGCTAATTTCAGAGTGACCTTTAAGTACTGTTTTGGCAGAAGCTCTCAAGCAAAAACGATTGAAAAAGCAGGCAAGAAAAACTGTTTACAGGGAGAAAAAAGTAGTGGCTAAAGCATATATCTCACCTTGTATCTTTGCCATGCTTGTGCCTTGACTGATTCAAATTGATTATGACACCTTTTGATCCCAAGATCTCATCAGTGATTCTCCTTACTGTCTTCCATACAATTCTTATGATGTTAGTTTGGAGAATTTGGTAAGAATTTATCTGCTTGATCTTGTCTTGGTATCGTAAGGAGAAGTTCTGTTTTGGTCACTCTTTAGAATTAAACAGCTATATTTTATCAACACATCAGATCCATGTCTCTAACTTAATTGCACAACAAAGTAAAAACATGACATTTTTAACCTGAGTTTTTTAAGGCAAGAACCAGCTTTCCCTCAAATAATGATCAGAAAAATGTATTGTCTGGCTGTACTAGACTATAACTTGTCCAGCTTGTGGGGCTGATCCCCCCTCCCTCTTTTAACCCCTGAGAGTGACTAGCATCTAATTTCTCCTTACAATATCCCCCTGGATCAAACATTAGGGTCACAAGAATAAAGGAAATGATCACGAAAAAAAGAAGCTCTTAATTGTTAAACAAATTCTCCTTGCCAGCACCTTAGGAAATGTATAGAGAACAGTATGGAGAATATTCATTCTGATGTTTAAGAGTGTAAAGGGTTAAATTGGAATATAAGGCAAAGGGGTAAGTCTGAATACAAGACTGACACTCATAGTCACCAAACTGTTGATTGGAATGGTCCCCTTTCTGCAGGATGGCGATATATTGATTAATTGCAGATTACATCAAAGTAATTTTTGATTTTTAGTCTCACTAAAAATGATTATCAGAGCAAAGTGGTGAGATGTGTTCTGTTCTGAGCCATCTTCAAAATATACAATAGGTGTGAAAAAAATTTTTAGTAACGACAGTAACCATGGTAATGAAATTATCCATGTTATTTTACAGATCCTTCATATAAACCTGAATAACATGGTTTGTCCAGCTGTTAGCGACCCATTCAGTGGACCATATTATCGAATCATAGCCTGCTGTCATCAACCATTGTTGATATTTTTAATTGGAAAAATATTTTGCATTGTTGGACACCAATTTGTGAAAGCATTGTATGGGACAGAGGGGAAAAAAGAAGAATGACTTTTCAGTGATGATATTCATAACTGTGAATACTTACTGTTCATTTAGCTGTGATGCTTGCTTTAAACCTACTTATTAAATGCATACATACTGTTTAATAGCCAATTCTAAATTAATTTTAGTTTCAGTAATTTTTTAGAATACAGTAAAATACACTGCTGCATTGTAAGACATTTGTTACACATAACTGACTTGCAATGCTTGTCATTTTACATAATTATCTGTATATTTCTAAGGTCATTTTCACAATTTAAGCTTTAGAATGGGTAGTTAAAAAAATTGTAAATTGCTTCAAAGGAGATTTATGACTTCAATAATTTATTGCACAAACAACTTGCTGCAAAACTCAGAAAACTATAAACACCAGAAATATTATGGAAAGTTGTTGTGTTCCAAATGCTAAACTGGTGTGAGGAAACTAAACTGCAAACAGCAGCTGTAATTGGTTTGGGGTCTTAACCCTTTAATCCTTAAGAGTGACTGGCATCTAATTTCTCCTCACCATATCACCCCTGAATCAAACATTAAGGTCAGGAGAATAAAGGAGCTGATCACTCACTAGAGAAGATCTTGATTGTTAAGCAAATTCTCCATTTTGGCATCTTAGGAAATATTTAGAGAACAGTATGGAGAATATGCATACTGATGTTAGGGTGTAAAGGGTTAAGATTTCCTCTTTTTTTGTAGATGAAATTTTGATTGATCAGTACAAACAGGTCGTTGACTTGTTAAAATCAAATCAAAGTGTTTATAGTTTTCTGAATCTCATTGTAATGATTATTCAAACATTATGGAAAACAACATTACGTTGCTCTCTTTTTGTGTCCTTGTATTTCGAAATCCAGAATTGCATTAACTAATGGCAATAAATAGATTTTGTGGCTGAGATCTGTCATGTGTCCTTAACTTTACATTGAGTGATCAGTATAAGCAATGTGATCTTTCAGAATCAAGAAATAAGACTTCCTTCATCTTGCTCTTTTACAGAGCTAGTGCTAGCCATTAGGAAGATGGGTGCATTCTTGTAAAATTGTATGTAGAAAATTTGAAGTAGGGGTCTTAACCCTTTAACTCCCAAGATCTCATTAATAATTCTCCTTATTGTCTGCTATACAGTTCTTGGGATGACAGTTTGGAGAATTTGGGATTAGATCAACTTATAATTCCCTAATTGATATTTTTCTTTATTCTCATCACTTTTCTGCTCGATGATATAAAGAGAAATTCTGTCTTGGTCACTTATGGGAGTTTAAGGGTTGAACCTAATTTATAGAACTAAACTGATTTACTGAAATTATTGGGAGCAGTCTTTCCTGTTTCCTTTCCACCAAGTGGCAATTTGGCAAAAGTATTACATGAAAAGGGGGATGGGAGGGGGGAGGGGAGAAAAGGCCTACTGCAGAGCTAAGAGATTTAATTAATCAACCTTACATGTTATTGCTTCCCATGGGCATCAGCTCTTGTGTCAACCACTCAAATAATCATTTATCTTCCCCATTCCCAGCCTGTGTACAGTCCCCCCCTGCCCTCTGAATTTTTTTCTGAGTGGGGGGTGGGATAATGGGGCAGCTGTATACAGGCTACCCCACCCTACTCCTCTCCCTCATCTCCCTTTGTAACTTGCTGTCACCTTCTGCCTTAACATGGCTCCTATTTCACTCATGCTTCCCTGTTCTTGCTTCCCTTCTTAGAAATGGGAAACGACTGCTTCAATGGCTTATATGATGGATAATATTTCTTAATTTATTCAGTAATGCTTTGAAATATGGGCTTAATTAATAACTGAAACTATCTTTGAGTAAATTATAATATTTAGATGAATTTTATTTAAATTAATTTCTGAAAAAAAGATGCCTAACTAATAAATTTATGGCTGTGTGATCAATAATTAGAGCAGTATTGATGGGCAACAAACAAACAGAATGTTGCAAAGTGGAAAACAACAAAAAGTGGAACTCGAGATGTTTGAAATGCAATTTCTGTTGAATTCAATAAAGTGTTTAGTGAAAGATGGGAATTTTTCTTTTCATCTTTCCTAAAAAATGTTCTTTTAACTTGCATTAAAATTCAGGGATTTCCAATAAAAATAAATCATCTGCAAAAATGTCTCTGTCTTTGCTTCCTGTACTGATTCCATCAATTAAGGATGGCAGTTAAAGCAAAAACCCTTTCAAACTTTTTTTCAGTCGCCCCATTGTTAATTCTTGACTTTTTAAGCCTTGGAAGAGAAACTGAAATAATTAAAATTTTGAAAAAAAAAAGGACAAAGAAAATCATTGAAATGTTCCAGATTTCACTTACGCACGTTCTGCGAAGTACACTTCCCTCTCCCATCCCATTCTTTTGTAATGCGATCAGGACCTTCTATTCATAATTGAACAAAAATGTGTGTTAAATTCTTAAAACATTTGTCAAAGGAGTCTTTCGCCTTGTAAAGAGAGTCTTTCAAAGAAAACACTTTTCAACCAATCATGTAACCGATCACGCGATCACGTGATTGACGTATATGGCGGGCCTTCCCTTCATTGCCTCGTGCTAATAATCGACCGATTCGTTTGTTGTCGGGCAAATAAATTCAATTCAAAGCTGTTTGATAGACGAAAGGTAGCTGGACGATACCTTTGGGGCATAATTTTACAAAGTAAGACTTTTTAACGCTCGAAAGCCCTTAAGTTTAACGTTGAAATGACTTAAACTTCGATATTTCAGGTATATATTTTGACGATGGCGTTGTTTCGTTCTAGGTCGTCCACAGACCGAAGCGTCCTTTTTGGGTGTAAGCGATCATGTCTTTTGAAGATGCTGGTGATCTGGCATCCTTTGCTGCCATTGCTGAGTCGGCGACTGCTAATAGAGAAGGTAAGATTAAAAGAGTAAAAACCGCGACTGACTTTGATAATTGACTATCGAGCAAGCCAACTCTTGCCTCGCTCGGTGATCGAGATGGCGAACATTTCGTCATCGTATTTGGCGTTAATCATTCATAACAACAACCCACTTTTCTCGGGAAGATCTTGCACTGTTTAGGAAGATGTCTTGCAAGAAAACTATACGAAAAGTGTTGTTGTTATCCGGTACCCAGTCCTTCCTCTAGGAAGCAAGTCTTTCCCAGGTCTTCAAAAGATTGAAGAGTTATGGCGGTCGCCCCAGACTTCTTTCTCTACAATAAATATCTTTCCCCAATCTTTCTCAATCTTACTAACAAGTGGAGTATTTCTGTCTGGTAATGAACATCATTCTGTGATGGATGTATTACCCTGACTTTTCACCGACACTGTTGTGTTATATTTCATTATCGATGCTGTTGTCGAAGGTCCTTCTTCAACTGTCTTCGTTCTGCATGATGCTCTGTAACATTTCAAGTTGAAAAGGACGGTTTCAGACATCAATATTGGCTCGACAGGAGAGAAATTATTCTTACTTTACACTGACTTACAAATGTGAGAGTTATGCTTTGATGTCGAAGCTTTCCATAGCTTTCTAAAATGGCAATTAAATGCAAGGTTATACAAGATGGTGGACGTGTATTTTGCGCCATTTTCTGTGAGGAAATTTGCATAACGTAGTGAAGGAATTTGCATGTACAACTTACCAACTTGATTATCGAAGTTTTGCATGTTTCCAAGATGTAGTTATGTTATATTTGCGGCCTCCAGAGATATCTAAGTTTAAGAGGAACGAGAAATGTCTTTTTTCTCTGTAACTTCAAATAGGTAAAGTGTATACGAGTCATATTGTGCTGATTAAGTGCTTTGTTTCTGTTTAAAATACAATAAATCTAGTCAATTTTGACTTCCATTTGCATTCAATGAATGGCCATGGATTTAACTGTTTCTGAGGATTTTTTTCTTTGGGCATCTAGTTGTAGTATTATCAAATTCAAAAGGCTTTACTTTTAGAGGAAGGTTTTTTTCATCCAAGCCAAATAGATTTGTTTTCAAATGATGAAATTCAAAGGTTAAGATTCCTTTTTAAATTTCTCTAAACCGGTTTACTTTTTCAGTAAAGTTCGATTATAACAGTTAGGTTTATTCAAGCTTATCTACCAATGCTGCTGTCTTTGGAATAATTCTCCAAGAACCATTACTTAATTACTTATCACTACTTTGGGAAAATGTAACATAAAGTTTAATGCTGCTTTAGCTTGCTTGAAATTCAACAAGAAAGCACAAGAAAGGAATGAAAATGTGACTTGTCCTATAGGTAATTGCTCAGTCATTATACAGAACAAAATTTGATACATTTCTAAATAATGTAGATGATTGAAATAAAAATGTCTGGTATTCACTGGAATGATGTACAACTGTTTTACTCATACAATCTTTTGACTCTTGAGATTCTTTCAGTGAGTTAAAATGTTGGCACTTTCTTTGTTACACAATTGAATTGCTTATTTCCTGAGTTGCAGGAGGGTCCTTGAACCTTACAATAGGTCTGTGTTTTGTATATGTCCCTGAAATGGATTAGCATCACATTCAGAAAAAATAGTAGTGCTCCTAGATTCATCATGCTCTCAGGATAGCCTGTTCCCCCCTTCCACCCCCTCTCCACCTCTCTGTCTTTGGGTTGAAAGGAAGAACAAGATGAGCTTCAGCACAAATTAAGGCCATGTAATATCCTCTATTTAATTAGCATGTGTTATGAAAGTTATTAAATTTTCATTGGGATGCCTGTGGATCCCTTTCTGGCCCTCTGTAATACATGACAATTGCCGCTGCCATTGAGCCTTCCTCACCTTAACCCTTTACACCCTAACATCAGTATTCATATTCTCCATACTGTTCTCTGCACATTAACTAATGTGCTGACCAGGAGAATTTGGCTAACAATCAAGAGGTTCTTCAGTTAGTTATCATTTTCTTGATTCTCATGACCTTGATGTTTGATTTATGGGTGATATTGAATGGAGAAATTAGATGCTAGTCACTCAGGGGCTAAAGGCCTAAAGGCCTGAAGTTCGGGTATTCACAGGCTACAAGAAATATTGGAATCAATATTTGTTGATTGTTGTTCAGAAATGGGGGAAACCTCTGATGAACTTTGTAGTAATAATAAATGGTAAACAGGGTTGTGTCTTCTCTGTTGTCCTACTAAATTTGACTGCTCACTAAATAAAAAATGTATTTTAACCCATTTTTTTTCTACGTAGAGGAGACTGCTGAAGCTAAGGAAGAGCCACAGGAAGTAAAGGAGGAGGATGCTGCCAACAATGAAGGAGGCAATGCTAGTGAACCAAGTGAAGTAGCTGCTGCTGAGGCCACAGACAGCAATGCCTCTGAATTGACTAGTGAGCAGCAGCGTACTTATGCAAATCTCCAGCCAATCTTTCTTGCCATGGAGATGGGACAGGAGGCAGTTAACCAGGATCAGGAGCAGGGTCAAGAAAGTGCTACTGTAGAGATTGGACAGCAGCAAGCCACTTACATTGCTACTACCAGTGAGCAGTTCACTCAGCCTTCCCAAGCTGCTAGTATGCTGCTAACTAGTGCAGCCACCTCAGGGGCAGAGACTCCAGCCTCTTTGGCCTCGATTCTACAAGATGTTGTATCAGGAATGCAGAGTGGAGCAGGCTCTGTTCCAGCAGCTATCATCACAGATCCAAACTCTGGAAGTGGATCCTTCCTAATTGTCAATCAAAATGGTGTACCTATTGTCCGACCAGTTCTTGTTTCAAATCTTCCAGCTGGAGGGGTCGGCCAAGGAAGTGCTGTGAGTGTGTCTGCTGAAACTCTGCAGGTGTTGACAGCAGGTCTTCATACTGTTGATGATGGTTCTGGAGGAAGTGGCCAGGAGACAGTGACTGTTGACGTCAGTGCTGAAGCTGAAGGTACATTTTATCTTATGGCTCTTTTAAAATGAAGTTTTCTTACAATTGTACAAAAGTGTTTGGTGTTTCATCAAGAGGAATTGTTCTTCATAAATGTAGTTTAAACATAACAGATCGTAAATATTTCCAAGCAAAACTCTAGGCAAGTCACTGGTAAAGATCTCAAGTTATTTTATCAATTGGAAATTTACCCTTCTAGCTACTATACATTTCAAGGTAGTTCAGGGTTGAAAATTAGGGTTTTCAGTTTACAAATTGCTTTGCTAATACAGTATTCCTCTTTTCAAGAGGGAAGTGGTAAAATTTACCACCCATAGTACCCCTATTACCACCTCAAATTGCTTGGAATTCCTTAAAATTCAACTGGTAAAGGATTGTATTACCAATTTGAAAATTTCTTTTGCCTGTTGTATGGTAATATATCCCCATTTGCTCTAACCAAAGAGCTAACACTTGAATCATCATTCAGCTTTTTGAAACTCTTTACGGTGGCTGATTTTACGTCATCAAATCAGTTGATAATACTTAATTACCCTGAACACTGTAATAATTTTCTTAATTCTCTGTTTATGTTTGCCTGACAATGTATCAATATTTTAAGGGGGAATGATTCTTGTAGGTTCAAGTGGTGCTGGTGAGTTGTCAGTGGAGGCCACCGTTGATATTGGTGCAGATACTGTTGCAGTGGTAGCTGGAGCTCAGGCTGTGGCACAAGGTGACAATGGGGCTGAACTGGAAGAAGGTGAAGAAGCTGTTGGAATACAAAGTAAGGCGTGTTTCACTCTGAATTACAATCAGCAAACATGATATTACAGAGTTAAGGCACTTGTAGGCTGTATTCCAGGTAGTTATTTGAGCACAAACAAAGCCTTAATTTATGTCAGATATAATAGATGTGAGACAAATTCTTGCATGTCAAAAACTGAAAAATGTAGAATGTATGCCACACGTTATTCTGTCCTCTCAGCAAGCTGGTTGATTTAAGTGGTTCATCATTTTCAGCTTAGCTCTCTACCTATATTACATTGCAAAACAATGATTTTACTCACTGTGCAGTACATGTAAAAGAATATATTACTAATTTCTCTATTGTTACTGTGCAGAGCCCATTGCCACCAGGGCACCAACAGGGAAGCGCAAACTAAGTGATGGTCCAAGGGTCTGTGAACAGTGTAACAAAAGCTTCAAGTATCCTTCAGATCTGAAGAAACATTTGCAGATTCACACAGGTTAGTACCGTAAAAAGTAGTACTTCTCTCATATTTTGCAATTAGAAGTGGACTTGTGTATTCTGCATACCCTGACACATAAAACAATCTGTAAACTTCAGTAAGATTTAGAAAATTATAGTCAGAATGTGCCATAAATTTTGCTATCTTTAGTGTAGCTGTTTGTCACTACCCATCTTCACTAAGTATGTTTGTGTCCAGCCAAAAAGGTCTAAAAGGAACAGTCACCCAAGGGGAGTCCCCAAGAAAGTTGGGATCTTCATATCAATTTTCCTTACTTCTATATATTTCTTATAATTTTTGCTTGAGAATTTGGTGTCCAATCACACTATATTTGTATCTTTCTCTGGCTGACTAACTGATTACTCAGGGAGGAGATGGGAAGTGCCAAAGGAAATTTTGATCTTTATATCCTTACTTTCTGCTATTATTATAAATTACTCATGATTTTTCTTTTGAGATTTTGGTGTTCAATCAATTACACTGTATCTTGTAGTTAATATTTCTCTCTCATTTCATCTGCTCTCAGCATGACAATTTATTAATTTTGAGAGTAGTAATTTATCTGCCTCTTCTTGGAGGGAAAGGGTTGAATTGTTGTGGATACTCATAAACAACATATGAAAAAGCTAAGAAACATGTTCCATTAGCAGAAAAAATTCCCAATGTTGTTTATCACTTTGTTCAGATTTAACCTGCCTTGTCCTGTTTCCTTGTGTGTGTCTTTAGATATAAAGAAGTTTAAGTGTGAGGATTGTGGAAGATTTTTCCGTCGACTTCATCAGCTCAATGTTCATCAGAGGATTCATTCTGGTGAAAAGCCATACGTCTGTAACAGGTTTGTGTGTCTGAGTGTGATTTGTATTCTACTTTTATTCAAAAGTATACATACTTACATACATACCTAATTCAAGGTATCAAAGGTATCCTAAAAAAAAAAAAAGAAAAAGAAAATAACGCCCTGAAAAAGAAGTTAAAGAGTTGGACCCTATTTAAATTAACTTCCTGAATTAAAAGTTATAAGAGGATGTATACCCAACTGTACTGAAGTACATGAAGCATACAGCTAATCAGTAATACTATTGTTTGTATCAATTCCACTGTTTCTTTGTTAAAATTATCCTGTTAGTTCTGTGAAATGGAACATTGAAACTTAATGTTTGTTTTTTGAAGGCTAAGAGTAAGTGAAGATTTCTATTTAATTTGTAATTATAGGAAGTTTTTTTTTCTGAATGAGAAGTTCACTCATGAATCTATTATTAGCTTTCTTCCTTTTTTAATCTTTTAACTCTCAGATCAAATTTGTAATTCTCATTACTGTCAACCATACAATTCTTATAATGTTAGTTCAGAGAATTTAATTTTGGATCAACTAATTATCTCCAAATTGATATTTTCTTTATTCTCATCACTTGTCTTCTTGATGTTGTATTGATGTTGTAAGGAGAAATTCTGTCTTGGTCACTTGTGGGAGTTAAAGGGTTAAACTGAACTGACACTGGATAAAGCTGAGATGAGCGAAAGAAAAAACTGAAAAAACCTGGACAAGAGTAGCAACCGAACCCCCCCAAAAAAAAACACGGAAAGCTTGGATCGAGGGAACTATGTTTGATGAGAGCTTTCATCTGAACACAATGAGAAATCCCGTCGTTCTTGTCCTATGTAAAAGCGTTGACGATGAAAAAATCGTTGAACAATCAAGCGGATTGTTGTCTGGCGATTTCTAAAAATTCCTTATCTGAAATATTGAATGTCTCTACCTTCTACCCGGCGGTTTTTTGGATGTGTAGCAAATGCGTTAAACTGTTAAAATCGGGGAATGTGTCATAATCAAATTATCGCACTTTCTGGGTATTTAACTGCCTTGAAGAATGCAAAGATCTCAGCTGATTTAATTCGTTTTCAAGTTCCAAGTAACCTCTACGTCTCGACAAATTTTTTAGCTTACACAGCGATTTCTCAAAATGTCTTACATTCGAGAGTAGGGTCATTCGTTCCTTTCCCTTTTTCATTTTTGGCCGGAAACACTTAAAGTAAGTGTGATTGGCTTTCAGGCAAACACTTCTTAACGGTTTTTCAAGATTAAAAGGGGGCTATTCAAATTTCCTTTCTTTCAGGCGTAAATGCTCCTCGCCGGAAACACTTAATTGTGGTCAGCTTACAGACAAATACTATAAAACAGTTTCTCGTGATTTTAAATTTACATTTAAGTTTTTACTGTACCGGGGCGACTCTTCTTTTGACGTCTGGTTTTCATTTTTTACCAAATGTATTCACTAATTTATCTTATCTGTGATCTTAAAATACCCTCATGAATCGCGTGCCCCTAGAGTTTCGACTCCTAATGTGGTGCTAAATCGAAACGTCCGCAAATAAATAATCTTGATTTACGACCCGGGGGTCCGGAATGGATTTGAAGTACAACCTTGCCAAGTGTCAATCGTCTACGGGAATAATCTGGGATTGAACTTCTTGCGTGAATGACACGTTTGAATTCAAACTCCGGAAATGTGTTGTTTTTTGTAATAGAACCGCTTCTAGAACAGCTGGTCTAAAACTTAGACAAACAAACGTATTTCACGTCTTTTGCTTGAGAATTCTAAATTAACGCGTTCGTAATATTGTGGCTAACTGTAATTTCGTTTTGCTAACTACAATAAAAGCAATGCATTAGGTTATGTACGTAAGTCTTGCCGAATTGCCTTAATATTAAGAAACTTTGGTTCCGTGCGGAGTTTCCGAATTCGATAGTAAGTAGTTTTTCACAGATCAGACAAGAAAAATGTAAGAATTGTTTCATGTTATTCAGTTGAAGTTCAAAACCAGGACTGTAATTTTCTTATCTTCACTTAAACTTTGAATCCGGCTTTCGCTCGGATTAAAGAAAGGCAAGAAAATGGTTATTACTCTTTAATTGTTCTTTAAACCAGAATACGATTGAGATTTTTGATGTAGTTTGAAAGCTTTCCTGACCGTTTTACCAATTATATTTGATGCTCTTCAGTTTTACCATACTTTTGAGGTAAAATCCCTCAAAGTATTGAGCTTATTGTACGCCCTCATTAGTAGAGATCAATACTAAGCTCTATATCTAATCCTTTATCAACTCGTCTGTCTTTTGAACAACCGGCTCCAGGAGTACCTAAGAACTTCGGGCAAACCAACAGTGTTCCTTGTTGTGATATTTTCCTTATTTCTGACTCGAACCTGTGGGTGTTTTAGCTGTGGCTTTTAAGACGCTCAACCAATGTGCGTCATTGGCCCATCAACTCTCAAAGCTGATTACCATATAACCTCTCCCTATAATATCCATACATTATCCTGCAAACCGGTGACGAGAATACTCCAAATAATCAGGTAGAAGTTGTAATCTTGAACTAACACCAAATTATCGTAACGAAGTGACAAGGAAACGTTTAGTAGCTAGAGGGGTGAATTAACAATCAGACCTTGGGAGTTATAGGGTTAAGGAGATGATGCCATCTGTAATTAATTTCTCCTTAACTTCAGGTGTGGCATGGCCTTCCGTCACGACTCCACTGTCACCATGCACATCAGAACTCGCCATGACCACCTGCGCCCGTTTAAGTGCGAAGTGTGCGGCAACCTGTTCGGACGACTGTCCCATCTCAAGAAGCACATCCGCAAAGTTTGCGGCGACAACAAGAACAAGGAGAAGCCAATTGCACAGTGTCGCTTTTGTGACGTCACCTTCCCGACTAAGGGAGATTTACGCAAGCACTTACTGAACTGTGAAAAGAAAGGTGCGCTACTTTTAAAGTAAAAATAACTTAGTATCTTTTCTAGCCAAGTCGTGGGAGACTCCGTCTGGATTGTCCGAACTCCGGACTCCAGTAGTGACCGGCCCCGCAGGAAACAGGGAATTTTGTTTCCCAAGGCCCTAAATATTCCCCGAGGCGAAGCATACAATGAAGGAAGGTTTTGTGGAATTTCAGGGACATCTCTTTGATGTAACGAAATGATTGGAAGTACGCTGCAATGGACCAGCGTCCTGTTGGGGGGGGGGGAGGGGGAGGGGTATAAAATATTACCAAAACTTGCAAGAAGAATCAGTTTTGGTAGAGGAGCGTTTATTTGTTTGCCATTTGAAATAAACTCTACCAAGAAGCACGTAGTGAAGCTGAATATCCGGAACATTGACATCCTATATCCATAGCTTATAGAGACTGGCCGCTTTCAAGAGTGTATGGTGTTTTGAAAACTTTGTTTGGGTGGTCGTACATAGAGAAGAGGGCTCTTTACTGTGCTACTAAGCGAAAACGGAAAGCAAATCAGTAGCAGTATTACTATTAGATTTTGTATCAACCTAATTTTTTTCGGTATTTCGTGTTGTACAGAAGCCAAAGTTAAGGCTAAAGAAGTCACCTTGCACATTTGCGAAACTTGTAACAAAGAGTTCGCCAGCCCCTACAACCTACGAAGACATCAGTTGACCCACACAGACGAGAAACCATACCAGTGTGACGTGTGCAACAGGCAATTCAAAGAAAAGTCGTCACTCACCAAGCACATCAAACGAAAACATACTGGAGTGGATCAAGGCAGTCAGACCGATGAGACTGGTGAACAGGAGGACGGTTATGTCAATGTTGACGTCATAGCCGAGTCTGCAGCGGCCAGCGGCGTCACCATGGAAACTGAAGAAACCGTTGAAGCTGGTATTGCCGCTGAGACCGTAGAAGGAGCTTCGACCGTTGACGCCAGCTCTTTAATTCCTGGAGAAGAAGGAGAAGTCCAAGGCGGTGCTCAGCAAGTGACTGAGGTGGTGCAGGCCAGCGGTGAGGTAGAAATGGCCACTGTGGAGCTCCAACTCGCCAACGCCGCTGCAGGTACGGCTCATTCACACGATGCCTCAGCCTTACAGGCTGCGGTGGAAGCTCTGGTCTCCGCCAGCCAACATCAGATAGCTGGGGTGACTCAGGAAGCCATGGAAGAAGACTCCTCCGCGGGCAAGGATATCTTCGAGGGAGTCACCTCCCAAGATGCTGAGGGTGCTGCAGCACTCATGGCGGTGTACGTGCCGGAAGTGAAACAGGCAGAAGTAAACTTGGAACTAGTGAACGTGGATGGCTCCAAGATGGAGTACGTGGAGACCACCGAGGAGGGAGATCAGGAAATGACTGCAGAAGTTGGAGAAGAAGAAAGTTGATTGACTTCAAGACTCTTTTTTTAACGATTACATCTTCATTTGATGAGGCTAAATGGTCGCTTCACTAAAGCACGTTTGCAGCGTTTGAGTTTTACTCAGAGCTTGTAAAATTTGTGCTTATAAACTGTAGATAAAAGTATGAACGAGTGTCCCTCTCAGCGTTGGTAAGCGGTAAACATTGTAACTCAGACTAAGGTGTTTGAGGTGTTTGCCTCAGTTAATCATACTTAAACATATCATTGATCATGCTGTGTTTTAAACTACATAGTTCTGATTGTAGTTGTTTATTTTATGCATTGAAACGTGCGTTGACGCGATAAATATAAACATGGAGTGGTTAAACAGTGGTTGCATTAAAGACATAAGGATCTAAACTTCTACCAGTATTCCGGGCTCTAGTTACTCAGTAAATAGAGAGTTACTTTCTCGTGACGGCCATTTGATTAAGTTGCTTAAAAATGTTTTAAACTAATGTGTTACCCTTTTTCAAAACTATGTGACTTTTATCAACACGATTATTTACGTATAACCTTTTCCTGCAATATTGATACATTTTCATTGTATAAGTAAGGACAGCTAATCAATCTATCAACTTTAGGTTTTGTTTTAAAGATAACTACCTAAATCAGTCCTCAGATTGAGCGACATGAAGACAAGCGAGGAGGATTAAGCGCTTACATTTGGGGGTTGAGAACATTGAGGCTTTTTTTTTTCTTTCCGAAATGAAACTAGCGAAAGTTTTATACGAAGTCCTCTGTTAAAAACTTGCAGGATTTGATGTAGTTACTTTGAAGTATGCTCTTACAGCTTTCTCAGCATTGTAGATCGTGGGAAAGCTTAGAGAATTAATTTAATTTTGTTAATCTGGACTTATGCGAGGGTGATCACTATTATTAAGTAAATCTTAATCTTTAGTTTCACAGTTACACTATTTTGTCAGAAGCTTTGGCATATGCAAAACCAAATGTTAAGTGGATGACTGATAACTTCATGCTTTCCAAGCTTAGATAATGTCTTTATCCGTAGTACATTCCACACACGAAATTGTGTTCCTGGTACATTGTAACGATCAGAAAACATTATGGTTGATTTATATTATCTAACTGACCGCCAAGAAGTTGAAATGTATTTACGTTAAATAATTGGGAATTAAAGACTTACACTAAACTTAGTAACTTTCTGGTGGCTACGTACTGAGTCTATCTGAAAGCCAGCAAAGAGAAGAAGAGAGAGAGGCCAGCTTAAATCTTTTACACCCAAACATCAGCATGTATATTCTCCACACTATTCTCTATACATTTCCTAAAGTGCTGACAAGGAGAATTTGTTTAACAATCAAGAGCTTCTTTAGTTGGTGATCATTTCCTTTATTCTCATGACCTTACTGTTTGATTCGGGGGTGATATTGTAAGGAGAAATTAGGAGTTGGTCACTCAAAAGTTCTAATGGTTATAAAATTGACCCTGGAGAATTCGTGGATAAACTGTGCAGAATATGATTAAAATAAACAGTGATTGTACTTAAAGCTAATGATCTTGTGATTGCAAGAAACAGTTTAGCCGCTCAACCCCAACTGATCCGCCATATATTCAACAATCGGTCCGTCATCTTAAATAAGATGCATGCTCTTCCCAGATTTCTATAGCCGCACTAATGCCAAGAATCCACACGGTTCTCGTTCCTTTGCTTGGCATATCCACAAGTCTAAAGACTGCATGACTGAAGAGGATTGACGGGAGAGACGGAGAGGTCGATTTTAGCACAGATGCGATAAAAGCCAGCGGATTTGGGAGAGAAGATTGAGTTGAAGGAAATTATTCGTAGCCCAATTAAAAGCATTTTGAAGGAGACATTGCAAAACGAAAAAACCTATTGTGAGAAAACCTTGTGAGAACCTAATTTTTTTTATTTCTTTTCCTTGAAGAAAAATCGTTCTTTTCAGAATTTTTAGACCGGAAGCTCTTAGAGCTTTTGAAGTGCTGTAGTCTTATTCGAGTGAAGATCCACTTACACTAATTCGGTTTTATCGGTTCATAATCGGGTTTACCCAACGGAAGCACTCCACCTCAAAAAAGGTTTAACAATAAAAGCGGCCTTTGGAAAAGTATTAAAAAGTTTATGTCATGTTTGTTTGATTCCATACGTGTGAAAGACATTTTCCTGTTTTGGAAAAGATGTTTTCTGCGATGACATTCCGATTCTCTCTTCGAGAAGCAACGATCTTCTATAAAAAGAAACAACTCGCTCTCCGCCCGCAATTTTTAGATTTGTTCACGGTCTGCACAAAGAAGATGGAGAAAGTGATTCATTGGAAATAGACGAGCTTAAGAATAACAAGAATGTTTTCGCCTAATTGAACTGATTATGTTTCAAGAAAATTGAATTTAAAATTGGTCGTGATACGATGCAAATGTCAGGAGAGATTAATTGGCAACGTAATCAACGAGTTAACGACAGCAGGATTCACACAGCGGAAAAATTAGATACTGGAAAAAAATCCGTCTTTTAGTGAGGGTAGGAAAACAAATGGATCTGATTACTCTACGCACGAAAACTAAGAATTACACGCCTTTACGATGACCTTTCAGAGAGAAGTTCACAACGCCCTGTTGTTTTTGATAAATTAAACTGACAGAGAAAATTCCACCAAAAATTTAGACCTGGGGCTCAGAAACGGTTTTATCCATTCGCTCAGTCTGACAGGAGGAGTTTATTAACAATGACCTGGAGAGATAAAAGCCAGAAGATTCTGACCCTTGCTATTAATGAACAGACCTCAAGGCGAGACTGACTGGCTGTAACTTAATTTAAATGTTATAATAGTTAGCATTGTAAAGATATACTTTAAAAAAAAATCTGCCCGCCTCATTTGAGTATTCTGGCCGTCGCCTGCCTTGATGTCAAGTATTTTTTCCTGCATGTGTGTGTGCAAGACGGACCTCAAACTGAAAGTTTTTGAAGACGGATTGGAGGTAAGCGAGCAGCAGGTATTTCTTTTCTGTTTGAATACATGCTAGTTTATCCTTACAACACTGACTGATTAGCTGTTCTTGGGCCACCAGACTTGAGCGCTTTAATATCTGATCTGTTTCTCAGGGTTAGGGTTAGAAAACTGTTTCAGTTACACCGTTGCCAGAACTGCTTTGAATTAAGACCTCCTGGAAGTTTGATTTTGTTGAATCAAGAAAATTTTATATTCAGCTCTTGTAAGGCCATGCAATATCTAAAATGACTAAACATAACCATTTCTATCCGTTTTGATAACGGTCTCCAATTTTAGTCACGACGCTGTATGCGGGCAGGAATTTTGTCTTATCTTAGAAAAAAATGCCTGCAGTTCCTTAAAGTCCAATTGGCAATATAGAACCCACACATGATGGCTTCCAAACTACTCCATTCTGTCTTCGAGAGATAGGGTAGTCTGAAGAGATTTAGCTTGGGTCAGCCATTTCCCTCTAGCACATCGATCAATTTTGAACGTTTCCGTTTTCTGATTAAGGAATAGTTACTTGCACAAACGACATGTGTGTCTGACAAACATAACCACGATAAGAGCGCCACAGATTTGTTGAGCTGTGGAAACTTTTAATTAGCGACCCATTAGCGACACAAATTTTTCAAATCGATCCTACAAGTTCCCACGTGTGTGGATGATGACAGCCTATGCAAATAACTCGGCAGTTTTTTTCTTGTTTTATGCGCATGGTAATGCCATGGTCATGGTAACCATGATAATTTTTCCGACGAGTGATACTTTGAAAAAATCTACAGAGTATGCGACTTTCATGTTCATCTTAATTGTCCAATGTTCAAATATGCATTCCAAGCTGACAAACCCGAGTAAGAGCTGCAGCAGATACCAGGCAGTTCTTCTCTGGTGCAGTGCGATTAGGGGATATGTTCCCCCTATCCCCTACAACCTAGAGGTGGCAGTAAGGGGGGGGGGGGCGTGCTTCAAAGGTATGTCTCCTTCCCTTTGTCGGGGGAATAAAGAGGGGAGGTAATTAAAAGGGTATTTTTTTTTTCCGGGGTGGGAGTGAAGGGCCTATTTGCGCCCTTGGTAACCAAACACTCACTCCGATCCTATTTCACTTCGTAATTCCTGAATTTAAAACGAGACTGATTCGATCAGGAGCATATCGCTAAATTCTTAACCCTTTGACTTCAAATATATGATTGTTAATTCTTCTCTCTGGCTGCCAAACATTTCCTTGTGAGTTAGTTGCGAGAATTTGGTGTTAGATCAAGGTAACAATTTTAAACCTGATAAGTTGCAGTATTCTCTTCACTTGTTTGAAGGAAAATAAATAGATATTGTGCGGAGAAACTAAATGTTAATCATTTCTGGGGGTTAGAGGGTCAAGCCAGTTCAGTATAGGCTTCGTCAGTTTTCAGAATTGTCCCTTTACAAGATATGCAAATGTTTCTTTTCAAGGTGGAGGATAAATGAGGTAGCTGATCATTTCTGTAAATTGCTGTTTCATCTCCTGGAGAATAGAGGATATGGAGTTTTTTTTCGAGACCTTGAAATTGAACCTTTCTTTTGAGCCAGGTGTTTAAAAAAGTCACAATGATTCAGGACCGGTCATTAATTATCGTTTGCAGATAATTGGTAGTTAATTTTCTATGGTATCCCCTCTATACTCTACTGATTCCCTCCGTTTCCCCTCCTGAAAACCATGAAAACCATGTGATCCCCCAAACTTTCCCCACCCCCCTTTAAGAAAAGGGTACATACAAGTACTAGTAACCACTCCACCTCTTTGGCAGAGGATCTTTCCCAGGATCACTTACCATTAAACGTGAAATTACTCCTCCCCTCGCGATCGCGAGTGGCTCGTCCCTCGCGCTGTCCTCGCGGAAGCCACGCAAACAGGCCGGGAAGAATGGCACGATACGTACGTGCAAGGTTTGTCGCCTGACACTTCTTTGTGCTAACGACCACCAACCATGAAAGCTAATAAAAACGAAAGACAATCATCTCTTGTGAAGTGGAGTGAAATGTATTTCGCTTTTTGTCGAGAGAGAGCGTATATTTGGCGGAAGTGGCTTCAAAATTCTATAAATTTACCACTTGAAATCTACGTTAAAATCTCGGAACACATGTTTCTGCGGGAGCTGATATTGGTGTGAACTGATTTAATAATATTTCCGGCTTCAATCTTCGAGAATTTTCCCATAATTGTTTTTTCCCAAACTTCATGCTGATTTTAAAGTCTCTCATCAACTGATATCGGAAACGGCAACTTCCTCAATTATGCAAGCTATGGCGTTATCAGCCGACAGTCTTAAATGTTTGTTTTAAGGTTAAGCTTTAGCTGTTAATTCAAAGATTATTTTCAGGCGTTGGCAAAACTTTACATCGTTTAATATCAATTAACACGTTTACCGCGTCTCGCATAACTCTTTGGAGTGACCGCGAAGTAATTTCTCCTCACAACAAACGATATCTTTTCACGAAGAAAGGAGATGATGAAGAGGAAACCATCAACGAGGAATGATTGTTTTATCTGACCCCAAATTCTCACTGCTGAAATTATACGAAATGTATAGCTGACTGTATGGAGAATTTATATTGAGATCCTGGAAGTGTATAAAGGGTCAAACGTTTAGTAAGCAGGGTCACTTAGGTCGCTTGTTATTTATATCAACTTACTTATCACAAAATCTATTTATGTTTTTAAGTGGATAGTATTCAAATAATCGGTATAATCTATGTAAGAATCCTTTTAAAACTAACAGAACAATGAGTCAATGTGAATTTTTGCGTAGCGCTGAAACACCCTTTCGTAGTAGGAAAACTTTTGGTTTTTAAATTTCTGTGGCATCTATATTAATTTGTCCAGAAGATTCATCCCGGAAAAAATTGTTGTGTTATAGATGAAACTTTTTACGGAAAAAATTTTAAGCCCTGCCGGACGAAATTCCAAGATATAGTTGGATTGTGGCACTGGTTTGGGTGAGTTCGAGTGGCAGTGTGGAGAGTTTTTTTCCTACGGACTAAATCATGTTGCATCCCGCCTCAATAAGCCGCGACCGACTTTATTTGCGCAAAAGATTTCACGGCTTATGATGTGAAAGTCTTATTTCCTTAAAACATACCGCATCAAACCTGGAAGCAAGGTTCATTTAAAGGAGAGGGTGTTTTGTTTAAATGTGAAATTATGCTTGATAATCTAAGAGGTGTTATTCTCGATAAAGATCTGAGTCATTGTTTTCATTTTCCATAGACGTCCCGCTGTCAGACTGATTGTTTTGCTAGGCAAGACTGCACACTTTATTTGAAAGTCTGCTCAACTCACGATCATACAGCAAATTCCTCACAGCAGGCTTTGAAACCACAGGCACAAGGTGCAGACCGAAATTTTGCGCCAGTGCTTCAACTGCGGTCGCCCACAGAAGCAGCGGTGTAACAGCTCAATAGCTCTCCAGACAAACTGCTTTTTTCCTGTTAAATCCTTATCGTTTCCTGACCGTTTTTTCACCTCTTATCAGGTAAGATAGTCTCCCAAAAGTTTTGGACAGCAGGACGAACTTAATCATCAATCTAAAGAGTTTTAATTTGAAAGCAAAGATGTATTGTTTGTTGAAGAGAGACGATTGCCTCGGCCTGGCGAAGAAGAACAAACGCAAAATGCTTCGCACTTTCAAGCTGTTGTTGAAAATGCTTACTTAACATAACGCAACAGTTAACTGCAGTTAATTTTTCACTTATGGCAGGATATCTACACCGATCACAAGGCTTGATTGGTAGTGGACTTGAAGGTTGCACGCAGTTCGTAGGTAAGATATTTTAGTATCATAATTACTGCTCCGGCGCGCACGTATCGTACGTATGTTATCTTAATTGTGCATTTCCCGATGGTTATGGCCATAAGGGTGTTTAACCTGCAAGTTTTATCTCCTAATTACATCTTTTAGTTTATACCTGTATTGTACTTCTGGATAAGACGCGATTAAAGATTACTATGCTGCCGGAAAAGAGATAAACGAAAAATAAATTCAAAGGAAGTTTTGCGTTCAACTTTAGTCAACACTGCTCTCTTTGCACTTAGTTGCACCTAATATGATAGCATTTCCCCGATTTTTTGGCTTATTTTAAAGAAAAAAAGCCCATTGAAAATGGCCGTTTTGGTGCCATCTGCTGTGATTAATTCAGGTTTATTCATAACGCTTCCCCTTTATCAGACTTTCCATTTTTAGAGTTGTATTTATGGAAATATTTATGAGTTACAAATTGCGTCAAGTGATGAGTTTGAGGGTGCTTAACGAGGTTTCATTAGATGCCACTGATATTGCTTCGGTGGTCTGTGTGTGTAGCACTGTTTCGTATCCGTCGTCAAGGTTTTCCTTTTGTACTGTACACAAGCAATCATTTATCATCGTGGGTTTGTTCTTCCTTCCGTGAACAACCGATACAATAACTGAACTGGTTTCACGTCGCGCGCGCGAGATGTAAAGACGCGTAAAACATTCCCGTGGTCGGATTAAGATTTTTCTTTTTAATACCGGTAAAAGCTGGCTCAAAAAAGAGATAGTAATTTTTAAGCTCGCATTCCAGAAAAAAAAATGTTATGGTGCACCACAAGTCTTTTTTTCTTTTTTTCTTTTTTTCTTACGAAGTAGTTGCCACATGATTGTCACTCGCTGTCAGTCTTGAGCGTCAGTTTGTGGGAGTTTTACTTTGTGAAATCAAAACTCATTGATCACGCAGTTGTTCAGAAAAAAAAAAAGAGAGTTACGTAATCGACCACCAAAAAGGGAGAATTTGTGTACAGTGATCCGCGGGTTAGTTTTTAGGAGATGAACTTTATTCGTTTGTCTCACGATGGAGTCACTTTGAATGTTGAACGCGACGTTTCGAATGCAATACTGCTAGTCTTCATCAGGCGATAAGGTCGATCGTTTAGGTGTCGCTCTTTGTAGCACATTGGTTCACATTGTTGCATTTCGATCCTCATTATTATTCCAGTTAGTTTCGGCTTTTTAGCATGTGCTAACAACAATTCGTTTATCTTGTTCGTCTTCTAATTACTTCTGGTTAATGTCTCATATTGTTAGCACGATACAGTAATTGAAATTTTAGCTAATCCGGGCAGAATTTTCGACATCAGTCGCCCAACAGTTTGTCTAGGTTGGCTGCGACATTATCACAACGCCCTATTGACGGAAAGCAGTGGCCGTAAAAACCCACATATTTTTCTTTTCAACTTATATATATGGCTAAACTCCAGGCTTTCATCATGATGACATCAAGGGTTCATCCTTAATAAGCAGTTCTGTAAATGTGCCTCTCTGTATAATTTCATTTTTCAATGCTCTTGAGGACCCTCCTAGCATGCCGATCAATCCCACATTCCCGCTGTTCAAAGTTATGTACACCTCCCACGCACAGCAGTGACAACAGTGACATTGCGATAATTACAACTAGGATTCTGCGAACAGTTTCCCTATTTGCTTTCGCAGTTACTTTTAGAGACAATTGCGAAATGCCTGACACACTATCAACCTAACTCTATGGTAAGAAAATAAATGAAAACGGAACACATTTCTGAACACGACTGCTTAAAGGAAAACGTCAGAATGGAAGTCAGACTACGGGTACTCCCTTCTTTTCGGCGAAGTCTGTCACGCGTGGTAAAAAACAAATATAGCGAAAAAGTTATGTAAGTTGACGTTACCGCGCAGTGTAGAACTCTGAACCTCTAATTTACTCACAAGATTGCTTCAACGCTGTATTCTTTGGTCAGCATGCATGCGGGCCGTTTTTGACATGAGCTATGCAGCATTCAGGTCCTTTTCGCTTGGAACACTGAGCTTGGCGAAGCGAAAGTCGGCAAACGTGTTGATTATCGCCCTTCCTTGTTTTATGCTCCCACTAAAAAAAAATAAAAGAGCTTGCATAACGTCAACTTACATAACTTTTTCACTATATATTTTTTTATCACTATATACATATTTTTTTATACTACACGTGACAGACTTCGCCGAAAAGAAGGGAGTACCCACCGTCTGACTTCCATTCTGGCGTTTTCCTTTAGGCAACCGTGTTCAGAAATGTGTTCGCAAGCTCTTTTCAAGCTTGTATTTCGATGAAGCGGGGAATGGAGCCTCCATGAATTCATAATACATATTTATCTTTGTCAATCCTCAAGGACAATCCTCTCTTTTCATAAAATAATCAAACGCTAGATGTTCAAAGTTTTGGAACGAAGGAGTTAAACTTGTAAAGCGCCCTTTATTCTGACCATTTTCTGAAAAATCCGCTTTTAATTAATTTTCTGGTAGTACTTTGATTGATAACGGTACTTAACGAGATAAAATGTTCAGACGTGAGACAGATTATGTCATATGTGGAGATGTTATGCAATTGTTTCTTTGTTCGTTTATTTTTGGATACGACGCTCTTATTCAGTATTCGCGACTGTTCCTTACAGTGCCGCCAGCGTGATGTGCCAGAAACTCGTGTGTGCTTGCACGTTACTCGCGCCTACTCGTGTGTTACTTGAAAAAACAAGAACGTTCATGAAAACAAAAATATTAAAGCAATAGACCGCACTTTCTATCTGTTTACCGGCGTGATAATCTGCGGGATGTTGGGAGAACACTGGAAAAGTTTTCCGTAGGCGAATGACTTCAAAACTTCCGAAAAACTTTTTCATCATTATCACCGTGGGTTTCTGAGCTCGCATTTCCCATTGACTCTTCGAGCGTATGTTTAAGGTTGCTTGATGCATATACTAGCTTCAGGGGACGATATTCTGTTACAATGGTTATTTGGATTAAAAGAGCATTAAAATTGCGGGGGGAAAGGAGGACTAATTTTGTCAAATTCTTTTAAACACAGACAGCTTGTTTACCGAGACGTTGTCGCCAAAACGTATTACATAACATAAGTCAATATTTATTATAATAGATGAATTAGATCCCCTTCTTTAAGAATCTAGAATCTGAAAATGAAACATAGCTTGTCTGGGGCGTGCTATCCCATGCGAATTTTTGCCAGCTCGTGACTAATGGACCTAAAAACGAAAATGAAACTCGTAATCTTGTGTTATTCCTTATGTGCGAAGTTGTTCCCAAATTTTATCCTGGCTTTGTAGCAGATTAGGAAAGGAGATTCGTCAAGGGAACTTAGAGAAGTTTGTTCCCAGAGTATCGTTACATCGAAATATGAGTATGCTTCTTTCATACTCTAACGTCTCAACTTGTACATCACAGACCATCAGAGAATATCTAACCAAACAATCAGGTCTATTCTTCTCCATCTTTGGCCATTTTCATTCTCTACTGGTCAAATACAGTCTCACTTCTGTTTTTCTGTCTAACCGTTATAATATTTTCAGTTATATCGTTTTGGTAAAAGATAGTCGCGCGCGACTTAAGAAGTGTGTAAAAAGTAATTACATCGCAATGCATTCCTCTAAGCTGGATGCACATGCTCATTGCAGGTTTTGTCATTTAGAGTTTTTGCGGACGCCCTGGCATGTTAAACACGAGGAGAACTTGCAAAATGAAGTGCCTTGATAATATGATTTGGCACACTTTTTATCTCGAACTTGTAAATGTTTCGGCTTGAACTTTAAAACCATTTCTAGTAATCTCTGCGAAGACGGCGCAGAAGTGGCGGGTACATCAATAATGGTAGCTTGCCCGAGAATTTTTTTTCTGTGTGCATCTTTGCTTATGGTCTGCCGGCCTATTAATCGTCTTTTGTTATTGTAAAAGAAATCCGATTAACAGAGGTTGGCGCATGAACATTTGTTCCGAGAATAGTTTAGTACGCTTGATTTGCGCTGCACGATTTTGCTTCAGTAGCGTCCAGTTGTTCTTAGGAGTCGTGGTGAGTATTGGCTCGGCTCGCAATATTTTTACCGACGGGGAACTGTTTGTGTAAGTGAAACAATAATTGTATCTGTTTGCCAGTAAGGACGTTTTAGACGAGTACAGGACTAAGGAAAAGCAACAAGTCCACCGTAAAAGGTACCGTTAGAGAAAGTAGAACTGTACCTTTACATTCCATCGAAGCAAAGTCAGTGCAACAGCGTGCACGGATTCGACGTCGAATTGAGAGGTAACGGGAAAACGTTTGCATAGTTAGCGTATCTCATTGAGCTCCAAAAACAAGTTGGAAGCAGCAGAAGTTTTGCGTAAACTAGGCTCCAAACGTCGAGGGAAAAGGAGGGGGGAACTTGAGTGAGTTTCCAACTCTACGCTTTTCATTGTGAGCTCAGTAGTTATGGTCACAACCTTTTAGGCCGGAGTCATGCGAGCCCATCATCAATCGTCAAAGTCGCGATTATTCCTCAAGATTTAATATTTATCCTAGCCTTATATGTCAGTATGTTTGCATTAGGCTGTTGGTAATAACCATGGCCTTTGTTTTAACAAGCTGAACCACTTACATTCCATGAGGACGAGCATAATTGATTTATTTTGAGAACGCGTGCAAAATAGTTCCCTCATTAAGGTCGAAATCTTTCATGATCTCAATCAGGGCCTCGAGGCTATAATTGCTCTTTGAATCAAGGAACAAAAATATCCGATTCATTATAAATAGGCCATGAACTATTAAGAGAATGGGGTTCGCAGAACAGAAAACTCATTTATACTTTATTTTACTTCTTCCGTTTTTACGCGGTGAAGTTCCGACATTTACTTTGTATATTGAGAAGTTGATCAATTTGTGAGTATGGCGAATTAGTTTTACGTCTCTCCGGCGCAGTTTGTTTATCTAATCAACTATAACTGGCCATTATACCTTTGCGGTTTTGTTTTGTAGC